TCAAGGTTCAAATCGTTTCTTATCATCTTACTCTAAGAAACGCGGGGACTATCTGTATACGGTCGAAATCAGGTATGCCCGAGTTCCCGGGCTCGAGGGGTCGCCTTAGGCCCGAGTTCAGATAAGGTCGAGTTCGAGCTCGATGGACCAGACTCGAGCTCGAAGACAGACTGAAATGCCCGAAGATTGAAGTACGATGGATACCGAAGCCGAGTATGCTCGACCCCAAAATAATGCCGTTGCTGATTTGTAACAGAATGAGCGAGATTCCTGCCACGTCCCCAAAATCATGGAGCAAATCCCGGTATAGAATTGTATGATTCCGTACTAGGCGGTTAGACAGCTGTCCCAATAAGATTCCTTACTGTAAATGAAAATGTACCTTATTTAGGGCTCCCCTATTATATAAAGGGGACCCCAATCATTTGTAAACATCATCTAATCATTGGCAAAGAATATACTCTCTACTTTTCACTCATTGTTCATCAGAATTGTCTTTTAACTTTATTGTTCTTGGTTTATCTCGAGGTCACTGGGCTCGAGGTCGATATTGCTTAAGTAACACTGGTTTGATTCACTTATTTCTTTCATTTATACTTTATACTTCTTGATTATTAATTGGTATTGAACTAAATCACATATCTTTAAAACCACAAATCAAATTTAATTGTTACTCGTATTTTCGAGGTAAACATATATAAAGTTAAATTTTTCATATATATATATATATATATATATATATGTGTGTGTGTGTGTGTTAAACCCCATTGCTAAAAATCTTGCATCCGCGCTACTGCATATCTCTGTGATGTGCTATAGTTTAATTAGTCAACAACATGTAAAACTTGAAAATTCAAGTTTTCTAGATTTTATGTATATAATCCACTCACGTGTTTGACTGAGTAAATATAATCTCTTAATTAATGGAAATTCCGTCGAACACGACTTATATGAGTTCATCCACTCAAATTAGTTGACTCTAAAAATAAAAACAAAATTGTTGACTCAATTCTTTCTTTGCGTCCTTAATTGGATAAATGATAATAACGTGTTGTTGATTTGGTCTTGTTTATTTTTGAACTTTCCTTATTTTTTCCACATATGACTTAAATATAAACCCTTATCTAAAAAGCTATAGCTATTGTGGCTTATTCAATGTTTTTAAGCATAATATATATAGTTTTAATTAATAGTTTAAAGGGGTATTATTACTTTTAGCCCACGCCAAAAATTATTTATATTATGTAGTCGAAAAAATATATAAAATTTGTATAACTTTTGTATACAACATACATAATATGTATATATACAAAAAATATATATTTTTCAGCTATTATTGTGAGAGCGGCTATACAATGTCATTTCCCGTAATTTAAAGAAAATGGGTATTATCACTTTTAGCCCAGCCAGAAACTATTTATATTCGAGAGCCAAAAAATTGTATAAAATTTGTAATTTTTGTATATAACCTATAGAATGTATATATATACTACAAAAAATGCATATATATGTTTTGGCTATTATGTTGATAGCGGTTATACAATATCATTTTTTCTATTTTTTAAATATGTTATATAGCCGACCACCACCAACTTGTACTCCTTATGTTATTTAAATATTTAATATTATTATTATTATTCTCCAGTACATCACTAACAGTTTTCTGTTAATAATATAAATATTTAATAATAATATTATTATTATTATTAAAGAATTTATCCCTTTAGGTGTTAGATGCGATCAACCATAAAAAGTCAGTAATAAAGAATTTGTTCTTCAGTAAACGAATGACATAAGAAAGGGCTTCGTCTTATATTGTACTAAATAGAATTATTGAACATAAAATGTGTCTCCCTTGTGATCGGAGGCAGAGCCAGGATTTGAAACTTATGGGTATAGGATTGTAGTTCTTTTAAGTTACTGGGTTCTAAATAATAATTTATACATATTCTATGATTTACAAGACGAATACAAAATCTGTAAAAAAAACTACTGAGTTCGGCCGAACCCGTAAGCAGGACTAGCTCCGTCCCCGCTTTCGACGTGCCCCTAATAGAGAAAATATTAATAGTAATTGTTGTTCCTTATACCATGTTTGGATCAACTCTTCCTCTAGAGCTATTCTTATATTTGTAATGTTAATATGCTCCAAGATGAGGAAAGTGAAACTACTCCTGAAACTTCTGATCTTGATTTAATAATAATAATTACTATTATAATAATGATAATATTGAATATTAATGTTGAGCTAGAATTAAGTGAGTACGTGTTGAATGAGCAAAAGAGAAAATGGGGGACATTATAAGAGGAAAAGGAATCATAAATAGGAGTGCTATCTATAAATATATACACTGTACGCACATGTTGAACGAGGCATTTCATACAAAGTCAGAATCGGTGACTCATTGAATACAACATTTGAATATTTCTCCTTTTAAATAAATGAAAGTTATAGAATCTAGAACAGAAGCGGAACCAGAATTTGAATTTTATGAATTTTAAATTTTATGTTATCGATATCAAGTTTTACTAACTGAGTTTTGAATCTAATTTTTGTAAAATATTTAATAAATTTCTTAATATATAAACAGAGTTTGAGCTAAAACTACTGAGATCAGCCGTTCGCATGTCGGCTTCTAGCTCCGCCTCTTATTTGGAATAGTGTTGTACATTTGGGGATATTTCCTAGAAACATCTTGAAACAATGACCTTTCAAAAGAACCTCTACATCTCATTCTTTTTAAAATTTTAGATGATTCATATCCTCTTTGTGCAATGGTCATACTTCCTTTTTAAAAATAGATTTAGGGTGGAATAGAGTGGATTTTTTGCTCATTAAAAATATTAATCCTGTAACTATAGAGTATCATTTTATTGACTACTAATTTGTGTCCGTTGATGTGAGTTTAATATAAATAAATATTTCATGTTAGGACCGAAAAAACCAGGTGTCATGCGGAAGATAGCAAACGCAAACCTTGAACGACGATAAATCAGACAACAAAAAGAAATACCAAAAGAGACACAAACATTTAACGTGGTTCGGTCAATTGACCTACGTCCACTATATAAAAGAGAGTACAAAATATCGAGGGAACAACCTCACGAAGAGGTAAACACAAGTGACACACTAACACTTGTCCCCTAAAGTTCTCCCCCTAAACAAGACTTTCAAACCCCATATGGCTACATTGTGGATGCTACTGAATGAGAAGGGCGTATCCTCAATTTATAGAACTCCAAATCTTTTCCTACAAGAAAAGGGACTAGCCAAATATGGAAGAATTATATTTTCCTTCTAGGAAAAGAAAAGCCCAATTATGGTAAGAAAATCTGGACAAACACCTAACGTTTCACTTAAGAGTGCGGTGAGATGGATGTGATCCTTCCATTTTTAATTAGAGATCTCGAGTTCGGTATTAGATTTGTGCTGATAAGAAAATATAAGACTAATACTACTACTACTGACATGAAAAAGAGATACGCTCAATTACTTACTAACCTTCTACACTAACAGATGGATCATAAGTATTTTATTTTTAATTTTCATTGTTATAAAATTGTGTGCCTTTCCTTTTAGGCTACTTCCACCATGCTTCTGTTTCGGACTCCTTACGTGACCTTCTCAGTTTTAAATAATTTTCTTATCTCCATGCTTAACTACGTGGAAGTTTTTAATTGTATGGCATTCATCAGCTATTATATTAAATTTATTTCTTTAAATTGGAAGAAATCCCCTTTTTAATATCTGCTGTATAACCATGTAATCATTTTTTACTTTCTTAGACCCAAACTAAATTGAACTACATTTTTTTTCTAAATCTATCGTTTTACAATTTTTAATACGACAAAAACCACAAATTATTTTACTTTTCATGTAATTTTTGAATATTAAAATTTTAATTTAAGATGTAACTAATATACTCCAATTTAGCTCAGAAAATTGATCAAATTGACCCTCGATAAGTGAAATGTATCAAACTACTTGGTAAAGGGAGTAGTTTTCTTGCTAGTTCAAAAAACTGGCATATAGAAAATGAAAGTTGAGTTTAACATTTGAAGACAGGATTTCTGGGGTTTGTAAAGGAAATTATGATAGTTAAAATTTGTTAGATACTCATCCTTTCTTGATATTATAATCTGACTGGAAGAAAATGACATTATGTTACAAAAAAGATAAATAGTGTGTTTTCTTTATATTTAATATTTATTTTGTTTGTGGGAATGGGAGACAATATTTTAATAAGCATATTAGTCTTATATCTGAAAAATCTTGCGATAATGTAGCTTCCAAGAAAAAGGGAAAGGAGGAAAAGTTGTTGAAAGAATAATAATTTATAGACAATGATCCAGCTCATATATGGCCAAATGTGGCCAAAAACAGAAATCATGCATATTTTTCTGTTTTTATATATTTTTTTTTTTTTACATGTACAGACTTGCCAAAAGTTCAAAATTAGAATAACAATTTTTACGATTCTTTTAAGAAAATATAATAAAAATAGAAAATAATTCGTATGGGATGTAGTAAAAAGACCAGCCTTTTGATTCTTCAATAATATATGTAAAAACGTTTGCAAGAAAACTTGAAACATAAAGAAAACTTAGCAATGGGCTAAAAGTGGGAAAAGAAAGGTAATAGAGAAACCAATTTAGCTTTAAAACTGTTGATAATGGTATGAATACCAGAAAATAAGAAATTTCTAATTTCAACTTTGTTCATAATCTTGGTCACTTACTCCTAAGAAAAACATTGCTCTCTACTGACTTAATAATAGCCAAACTAGTGTTACCACAAAGATGTTAAAACACCACCAAGTGTTGTGGAGGTCTCGGGTTCTTAACACCACCAAGTGTTGTGAAGGTCTCGGGTTCGAGCCCTGGGTATGGAGTCACCTTTGTTAGGAGCGCTTTACCCCTCAATGTGGGACTTCCCGGCGCAAACCTGGATTTAGTCGGGCCCCAGTTCGAATACCGCACACCGGGTGGGTAACCAAAAAAGAAAAAACAAAGATGCTGAGACATTACCTTTATGGAACTAAGATTCTGTACAGTAACAAAGGAGCTGTTCTTTACATTGGATCTGTGGATTTGAATACATTAAAGGACTTCTTTATGTATGTATAATGCAGGGGACAAATATGTATTCAGAAAAAGAAAAAAAAAATGGCAATGGTAGTTAACTGAAATGAGGAGCAGTGGGAGAAATCTAGCCCTGGAAAATGGATATGGAACCATTTCAAATGTCATAATCTATGTCTGTCGCGTTTTGAGAATCAGAACGTCTGATCAAATGTCCTTGCTCGTCATATAGATCGAGGTTCTCACAAGGGGCGGGGAAGATAGTACCTATAACACGACCTTGAACGAAAGCACACTGGAATATATGCTTCTTCTTGTATGATAGCCCGACTGACATATCTCTGAAAGTAACGTTCTTCACCGGGATTTCTTTACTCCCGTGGATTTGAACAGGTACGCGCACTCCCTCGCCATGGATTGATGTGTAGCTTATGTCCTTCAGTACAGGGAGAGCTTTGGGATCGAACCTCTCGTCTGCATGCTCATTGTAATCTGTTTTGATGACGATTCCCACCCTAACATTCTCAAACGTCAAGTTCCTGTATGTTATATCGCGAACGTATCCTCCTCTTCCAGGTGCTGTTTTGATGCGTACAGCACGTCTCGAGTTCCAGATAAGGACATTTTCCACAGTGACATTTGACACTCCGCCGGACATCTCACTCCCTATTGATACACCAGCGCTGCCATGTAATTCAGGCACGGTTAGTCCAGTGGCGGAGCCAGAATTTTCATTAAGGGATGTCAAAATATAACGAAGTAAACCCAAGAAGAAGCCAAGGGGAGTCTATAAATAGTATATATACATAAAATAGGATTTTTTTTTTCCCTACCTACACAGTGTAATGTTTTGGCGAAGGGGTGTCAATACATGTGGCTCCGCCACTGGGTTAGTCCGTAGTTTAATATATAAGGCATAGCATGTCACATAAGGGTGTTAAACTAAACTAGTTTCTCTTGTGAATTGCTGCTAGATTTTATATTAAAATGGTATCAATCAGTCAATCAATCCATCAACTAAACTTCAGTCCAAAATTAGTTGTGGGGCTTTACTAAAACGATCATTAATCAGAAAAACTCGTGCCTCTTCAAACCATCAAGTGGCTGACCAGCAGGTCAACTGTCAATACTCGACGTACATTTGACCCCAAATCACGATTCAGATGCAAGAGAACATAAAGATTTAACTTCTCGTGCATATATAACACCCAGAAGTGCAACTGTGGTCAGAAACGACCAATCCGTGAAAAGAAATGTAAGTGCATATGGCCTATATGGACATCTCACCTGACATTGGAACGAATAACAAGGTTTCGGATGAGTATGTTCTTGGAAGGCCGTCCATAAGCAATTCCATACTGATCCCATCCACTCTTTATTGCAATGCCGTCATCGCCGACACTGATGTAACAATTCTCTATCAGCACATCTTCACAAGAATCTGTTCACTCCATTAAAACACAACAAGAGCTTATACTGAGTGACTGTCAACAGTAAATAAGCAATGAAAAAGTACAGAATGCATATATATTTCCTCCCGTATTGATTTGATTAAAGAACCAAAGTCTATGAAATGAAAAGTGATTTGAGTCTAAAATGCCATTGTTCTCAGAGATGACTTAACAAGATCAAGAAAAAGAAAACTGTTAAATTCAAAATTTTTAGAAATTATTCAATATAAGACTACTAGCTCAACATTAAGAAAAACTGAACCTATCAGAGACTCACCTGGATCTATGCCATCGGTATTTGGAGCCCCAGCAATGGGTGCCAGGATCGTAACATTCCTGATTGTTACATTCTTGCAGTCGTATGGATGGAGCGTCCAAAAGGGAGAGTCTTGTAAAGTTATATTTGAGATTAGTATATCAGTAGACCACATGATCTGCACGAGCGGTCCTCTGGTATGGTTAAGAAGCTTCTGCCGGAATTTCTTCCACCAGGCTTGACCCTGCCCATTAATGGTACCATTATGCCCTGTTAACAGGAACAACATATGCATAATCAGATCAAGCGGCTATTCCTTTATACTTCCACAAACATTCAGGATACTTCAGAAAATCTGCTTATGATATTTAGAGCATGGGTAGGTACAAATTGTCTTTTTATCATTAATGCACCTTTTAGAAACATGTAGCACATCTGATAAAGAATATCGCTGAACGTGTGAAGGAAGAGCCAATTACGCAACCATGAATAACGTGATTAAGTTTTGTCTGCCAAATATCTCTGAAAGTTTTAGGAAGATGGAGTTAATAGGACAATAGCACTTTATATTTTATGCACCAAGATAATTTGGGTTATCACTTTCTCCCCCAAGTTCCCTTCATATAAACGACGATTGTTCCCCAATACAAATATAAAAAAAACAAATCTCTTTAGCAGTGCATATGGAGCATATGTAGACTAACCACCAGTCTTAATGGCCCCCATAGAAAAACTATGACTATGAAAACATGCATGGACTAGCGACACGAACATTCTCAATTATTTGCATCACCTAACTAACAGAATATAAGACCGAAAAGCAGATAAATTCAATCTCCAGCAAAAACGACAGTTTTTCTTCTGATGAAGTAAGACAGCTCTAAACACTTAAAAAAACAAGGGCTTTGAATTTTAAAATACTTGCTGTTTCAGTGAAGCTCAGGGTGGGAGACTTTCAAACTGAAGTCAGTCAGAAAACTGACCTGTGATTACTACATCTTTGAGATTTTGGCCATGGATTAAACTTCCATAACGTGGTCCACGATGCTCTCTTCCATATCCATATGAAGGTAATGGAGGCATGAGAGGCCAGTACTTCTCGTCCTGTGTCCATAAATACAAATAGAATTACATAAATAAAATAGCTTCTGTGAATTCTCTAATAAACAGAGAGAGAGAGGGAGAAAAAAGGCATCAATTAGAAGAGGTATACTCATGTTTTAGATGAGTAGTTATCAAGTTATTTTGATCGCCAAGAAAATAGCACTTATTGTGAGAGAAAAATATTTTCCATGAGTTGGCTGAAAAATGCCAATGAAATGACAAAATTGTCGTTTCACTTCCCTTTTGAAAATTATAACTAGCAGTCCAAACTGAACTTTGCAGGCAAAACTGTTTCTGCACAAAAATGTTCCCTACACAACACTGTTTCCTTATCATGACTGGCACACACACACACACATACTCAGCAATTCGCTAGACAACTGTTTGGTTTAGGTTCTGTATTGTTTTGCTTTTTAACAATGCGTGTTTGGTTTTGGTTGTGGAAGAATTAGATTAGCGTGCACTAGAAGGATTGTTTCGAAAAACAGTCTTTTGTTTCCAGAAAACAAAACAGCCGTTTTCCATTTGGCTTGTCCCCTGAAATGATTTGCACTTGAAATCACTTATATTTGCATGAATTCGCTACAGTCAACCTACTTAAAAGATGACGAATTAACTACAGAATTTTGCAAGCATCATGCAACTTTATCACGTATCGGCATAACAACCTTAGGAGAGGATTCTCAGGGGTCTCACTCCTAGCAGACTGCATGCTACACGAGATGTTCAGAGGAAATACAAACCAATGTTTTGTTGTTCAATCTGAATAATAATCAAGGGTGCATGATATAACATCCAGGCATTTAGATATTTAGCGTAGAACAACCTCCAGGTTATGAGTCTAGAAGGCTTCAGAATTTTAGATTGTAAAGCCATGCTGACAAAAGTTGGGAAAAGAAAATGGCTAGGCTCTATGTTATAGGAGACCCGTATGATAGATGAAGATGTAACACATAATTCAAAATAGGATGGTCGAAATGGACGAGTGCTACGGGAATGTACTGCAATAGGAGGATGCCGAGAAAAGTGAAGCTAGTTCTATAGAACAATTGTAAAACTAAATTGTTATATGAGAGTGAATATTGAGTCTCTAAGCTGAAAAGTATCCACAAGATGAGTGTTGCAAAAATGATGTTAAGATGGATCTACAGCCATGCAAGATTAGACAACATAAAAATGATCACATCTGACAGAAGGTGCACTTAGCACTAAGATACGATCGCTTGAGATGTTATGGTCATGTCCTATATAGTCTTCCAAATAAGTGTGATACCATAATGATTTGAGGTATTGATAAAGGACGAGATAAACCTAAAATTACAAGTTATTGCAAAAAATCTACAAGCTCACAGAATCCATTCAGATTCAGCGAAAAATAGGACACTGGAAGCAAAAGATTCATATAAGCATATCTATTAGTTGGGCTTAAGGCTTAGGTACAGTACTGCTAGGAGTCATTTTAGTATGTTTAGAGATTTGTATCAGTAAAAAATGTAGAGAACCTCTAGTGTTAGAGAACCTACGTACTAGTGGAATGAAAAAGGTCCAAATAAAGCAACATGAAGAGTGAGGACTCATATGCCATTCCAACTAACTTGGGATTGTGGAATAGTAGCTGTTGACTTATTTGTGATTTACATTCACATTGTTAATGGAGAAAAGTGCAAAGTAATTGCATAACGGTATGCAATTACATATAGAAGCTAGATCACAAACCCTTTGTAGTAGTAATTCGGTGAATTAAATGCCTATTAAAAGAGGTGAATATAACTAGTAACCAAATAAAAGAGACCCAAAGGGCCATGTCAAGTTGTGACAACAACCATAAAGAATGCAAATAAAATGGCAGGAAATAAGGTCGAAACATGGTTAGAAAAGCAATAAACTTTCACAACTGAATCTCTAGTCGAAAACTGACTTCTCGTATACTAAGCTTCCTAAGGGATTCAGGAAGTTCATCTAATCCGAATCCTGACAGCTGTAAGACTCTTATTTTATCTTTGTAGGTATCACCAGTTTGTGATTGAAGCCTATTGACTGATTCAGGTGTTAGCAGCTTTGTATAAATACCTTTAATTAGTATTCGCTCTATCCCATTTTATGTGAAGGGGTACAGAGTACAAGGGTTAGAGCACCTAATTTCGGCATAAATTTGTGCATAGATTCTTCAAGTTCTTTGGAATAAAATTTACATATTTGAACAACATAGTTAATAATTCAAAATATTTAAAAAGGGATTGAGAAAATCATAATCAACGAATAAATTGTTTGATTCCCCAAATAGTAACAGTGCTACATAGAGTAAGACGAGTACAAAATTTTGCTTTGGCATTCAAAATCAATAAATCCATATGGAATTGGATAGGCGTTTACAAGTTAAAAATCTTTTTTTCCTAGAAATATAAGTTTTTGCAGCTTTGTACTTGAAAACATTTTATGTTAGGAAAATTTTCCTTGGCATTTAAAATTTAGATCATTGAGCTTCAAGATTTATTTTAGCCACAATGTTAGGCTTTACCTTGTCAATCTAAGTTTCGAGCAAAACTAAAGAAAGTTTTCTTCCTTCACTCTCCCACTTATATCTTCTATTACAACCAAAATGTATTTGCAAAGGCAATACTTAAAACAAAAACATCTAATAGCTCCTAAGCCTATCCACAAGCATCAAAATTTACCAAATCGAGCAACAGACTGGGATCAATTTAAAGACCATCAAAAGAAACCAAATAGGTAAAGCTGACGACAAACAGTTCTCCCAAATTAGAAGTTGACTCCCGGAGAACTTATGGATAAATTGGATCGCATGATCAATCTAAGATGTATTAACGAGTGAAAGCAAAAACCTTGACTCAGAAACTTTTAGTTTCCATAGAAGCAGTAGAAAAAATGTGCGAAGTGGATCATCATCATCACATGAAACTGCTCTAACCCTCACCTCTTACACAAATTATGAGATGCATCCACACAGATAACAGACACAACATTATCTCTCACTTCTCATCAATCCAATAACCTCAATTCATCCAAAGCTAGCCAGAATATCAGTTTCAAACAAATCCTAACTAGCTCCCAACTCCACCAATTATAATAAGGCTTCCATAAGTAAACACTAAGCAATAAGTACAATGTGGCACCTCATCACTCCTAGCAAAGCCAATCAAACAATCAAACGGCAAATGATATCAATTAGCATAAGAGTTTAAATTCTATGCACCGACTGTGTGACAATATTTAAACAATCATGTCACTTAAAAGTAACTGCATGTAATTATATTTAATAGCATTGATTGGTAACGTATAGTAAATTAATGGTCGATAACATGCTACAACAAGTTAAATTACAATGATGGTGCAAAAATTCATTGCACTATCAACATATATAACTTAAAAAATTGAAACATTATGAGCTCATTGAGCAAAGAATTAAACTTTTAACGCTAACAGATCAAGAAAACTTACATCAACACCCAATATAACAGCACCTTCAGCAAGGAACAGAGTCATATGACTAGTAAGATTAAACGGCGCCGTTAACCAATAACCAGGTGGCACATTTAGCTGCCCTCCACCTTTTCTAGAAATTGCTAATACTGCCTTCTCAAAAGCTGCCGTATTTACAGTAACACCATCACCAACCCCACCAAAGTCCGTCAAGTTAAACCCCACATGCCGGAGACTCGGCAGCTGCCTCGCCGGGAAAACTCGCCGGAAAATCAAGATTCCAGTAGTAGTAGAATCCATCTGCCACCAGAAAAGGGTTACTAAAAAGGCGATCCATAGCGCAGTGATAATGGCTTTGTGAGTTATGAAAACTGCCGGTAACCATCGACGCGGGTGGTGGAATTGTGTACATCGCCACCAAAACGGTGTCGTTACCGTCTCCACCATGTCCAAAAAAACAGACCCAGTTCTATATTGGGATCTCAATCTTGTTTTATTAAAGAAAGAATAATGTACAAAGTGAAATATTAAAGGGGTTCAAGAATGGGGAAGGTGAAGGGTAGTGGTCAGGATCAGTCGGATGGTTGGGTACTTGGGTAGGGTAGATGGGGATGGGTATAGTGGAATGAGTAAATTCAAAGGAAGAAGAAAGATGCAGAAGCCATAGTTTTGAAATTTTGATGGTTATTTAGTTTGATTAAGAGGGTGTTTACCCAAACAAAAGTTTTACGTTGAACGTGGTATCACTAGCCTGATCCATTTGGGATTTTGCTTAATCTTTTCACTATGCTTATCATAAATAAATCTACATAACAATAATTGAAGTTAATTTAAAGATTTTATAATTTCGAACACTAATGATTACCTAATAAAAATCTTTATATAAGGAATAAGGGTTTTGGTGGAATAGTAAGTACTCATTTACCCACATAGCTTATGTATAGTATTATATTATATTATATTGTATCATTTTGATATATACAATGTTTAGATAAATTGTATTGTTTGTCGTCGTTTCGTGATGTCATGCGCCAACAACATAAAAAATAAACTTGCATATTGCAATATATATATATATATATATATCATTTATTTTGGAACAGACTAAAAAGGAATACCTCATCTAATTTGAAACGAATGGAGTATATAAAAAGGTAGGGTAAATGATATAATAAGATTAGTTAATAATAAAGAAGGGCAAGATGACAGAAAAAAATAAAGAACAACGCAACCACATCAAATCGCCCATTCCATGAAGTGTCATTTTTCGTTGTTACGTAAAGATATATTACATTAATATTTAAACAACAATAAAAACAAACATCATAATTAAAGTACGATAGAATATAACATGTAACAACCATCCAAACAAGTTGTTAACCAGAGGTCTCGGCTTCGAGCCATGGGTATGGAGTCGCTTTTGTTAGGGAGCGCTTTACCTTCAACGTGGGACATCTCGGTGCGAATCTGAATCTAGTCGGGTCCCAATGTAGGCAAGGGCGGATATAGGGGGACGGAAGAGGATTCACCCTTCACCGAAAAATTACACGGTATATATAAAGCAAAATTAAATCCGTTTTTCGCCTCTATATATTATATGTTGAATCTCCTTAACATAACGCCAAAACATAACTCAATAGTTAAGGGGATTCAAAATCTTTACGAGGTTACTGGTTCAATTTCCACTGGCCACAGTCTCTTTTAATTTTTTAATTTTTTCTTTTTTGAACCCCCTTAACAGAAATCCTGCCTCCGCCACTAAATGTAGATACCGAACACCGAATGGAAAATAAATAAAAAAGAATATGTAACTGCCAGTAATAAGTTAATCTAGATTATCTTTATCTAAAAAACAAACCACTCAACTTGCTACAACTAGTTAAATTACTTTGATATCGGAAAAGAAAATACTTACAATGTAATGTATACTATATGTTAAATAGTAGTAACTAAATAAGAGAAAACTAAAATTGTTATTACAAGAAAATTAAAGTTACAAGTCAAAATCTTAATTACTCCATTAGACTACAACAATAGTTTCGTTAAAGAAAATGAGTGAAGTGTGATATGCATTTGTCAATCATAGGAAAATAGACAATACAATACCATCACTCTAATGGTGTGAATTTTTCGTCAACAAGCTGTTCTTAGCAATTTCGTAGTTAAAGAAACTTTATTAAAATGACAAAGTTCAATAAATTATTTAAATAGTAGACACCCAATGACTGAGTCTACATCATTGTGCAAATTTTGCTTTCCATTAAATATAAGAGTCAAATTTATGTAAATAATCAATTTAACTACCAAATAACGTTACCTTAAAGGTTTAATTAAGTGGACTCTTCAAAAAATTTCTCCACCTTATAAATTGACTTGTCCGTAAATATTACCTCTTATAGTCTTTGAAGTGATGTGCTTGAAGAAGGATTCTTATCGAGGATGGTAGTGAGATAAATATGATCCCTCTACCTTAATCTCGAGGTCAGGAGTTCGAGCTCGAGAAATGGATTGTGGCGGAATAAATATGATTCTTCTATCTTAGTCAGAGGTCACAGGTTCCAGCTCTAGATAGCAAATTCCTATCGAGAGCTGTGGTGAGATGAATACGATCCCTCTATCTTAATCAGAGGTCACGGGTTAGAGCTCTCAAAATAGCATAAGGATATCTATTGAGAATTGTGGACCACATGAGCCGAGGGTGGGACAAATATGTCACGACCCAAACCGATGGGCCGCGACGGGCACCCGGTGTTGGGTTTTGGATGTGTTTAATTAATATATTAAATACTTAAAAGAGGGTGAATGGGAAATGGAGGGAAATAAAATTTTTGAGTGAAATTTTAAGTTCCCCCCCCTTGGCAAATGGGCATTGTCCCATATTGGAAGAGGAAGAGGTTTTTTATGGGTATATAAGCAATTACTCTTCTTCTAGCTCTTAAAGAGTTGAGAAGAAGGCAAGCCTCGCGCCGTCGTCGTCGTCGCTCGCTCGGCTACGGCTACGGCTACGGCTTCGGCTACGGCTACGGCTACGGCTACGGCTACGGCTACGGCTACGGCTACGGCTACGACTTTATTTGTAAAATATTAACAGAAATGTTATTAAATATTTGTTTTAATAACAAAATATTAATATTAAATCCAATCCGTTTTTCTGTTTTGGTAATAGAAAAGTAACTACCCTCCAGGAATTGCAAGTGATTATTCACGATCTCCTTGCTGAAGGTATAACTCAAATTAATATTGATGTTGAAAGTAGTAATCTTGGTATTTTTACTAATAGAAATTTCATTGAAGGTCTTGTTATCAATGAAGCATTTCAAGTAGCAGCGATGATTGAGAAGTTGTCTCCTTTGTGGAAGGACTTCAAAAACTACTTGAAACACAAACGCAAGGAGATGTCCCTTGAAGATCTCATTGTTCGGTTGAGAATCGAAGAGGACAACAAAGCTGCTGAAAAGAGAGGCCGTGGAAACTCAACAATAATGGGAGCAAATATTGTTGAAGAGAATAAAAAGAGGAAGAAGGCTTCTGGACCGAAATACAACCCAAGCAAGAAGCGGTTCAGTGGAAACTGCTACAACTGTGGAAAAACTGGACACAAATCTACTGAGTGTCGTGCTCCAAAGAAAGACAAGAAGAAGGGTCAAGCAAACATGGTTGAAAAGCGTGATGATGTTGATGATTTATGTGCCATGCTTTCCGAATGCAACTTGGTGGGCAATCCTAAAGAGTGGTGGATTGATTCTGGAGCCACTCGCCATGTTTGTGCTGTTAGAGAAGCTTTTGCTTCTTATGCTCCTGTTGGACCCGATGAGACGATTTCTATGGGAAATGCTTCAAAGGCGAAAATTGAAGGATGTGGGAAGATATTTCTCAAAATGACTTCCGGCAAAGTGGTGACTTTGAACAACGTCCTTCATGTTCCCGAGATTAGGAAGAATTTAGTCTCTACTGGACTTCTTGTTAAGAATGGTTTTAAATGTGTTTTTGTTTCCGATAAGGTTGTAATAAGTAAGAATGAAATGTTTGTAGGAAAAGGTTACCTCACTGAGGGCCTTTTCNCAATTACTCTCTAGAGGAATTATCACGATTGACTATGTAAAGTCAAGTGATAATGTGTCGGATCCACTTACAAAAGGCCTAACTAGAGAGGTAGTTGAGAAGTCATCAAGGGGAATGGGACTGTGGCCGAGAACAAATCATAGTGGCGGTAACTCTACCTAGAAGACTGGAGATCCCAAGATCTAGGTTCAAGGAGATCAAACAAAGTCATTTATTACGGTTCAACATTGTCAACTAAACTTTTGGTCCATTCTCGTGATGAGACAATGTTCAGTACCAAGGATAAAGCATTAAGGCTTTTTAATGATTTCTAAATTTGATCTACGGGATGACACGTTTAGGAATCACCTATGTAAGTGTGAAGTGTTAGCCGCTTCAAGGAGAACATTGTTAGGCCAGTTCTCTACGCACTTATGAAACCAGGCGGTGTTCATGGCTGAAAAGAACACAACAATGAGAACCAAAGACGGTTAAGGGTTGGTTGTGTGACTTGTGGTTGTCTAGGTATACACTAAAGTTCGACGGTTCAAAGATGTCAAATCTACCGATTGATCGAGTATATCCGACATAAGTTCACTACGGAAAGTTCAAAGGGAAACCTACTTATCCAGATGCAATTAATCCTTACTTGCGAATCACACAGTTTTTCATGCATACTTTCGTGATATAGCCATTCCCCATTCATGTGGGGGATTGTTGGGTTTTGGATGTGTTTAATTAATATATTAAATACTTAAAAGAGGGTGAATGGGAAATGGAGGGAAATAAAATTTTTGAGTGAAATTTTAAGTTCCCCCCCCTTGGCAAATGGGCATTGTCCCATATTGGAAGAGGAAGAGGTTTTTTATGGGTATATAAGCAATTGCTCTTCTTCTAGCTCTTAAAGAGTTGAGAAGAAGGCAAGCCTCGCGCCGTCGTCGTCGTCGCTCGCTCGACTCGGCTTCGGCTTCGGCTACGGCTACGGCTACGGCTTCGGCTTCGGCTTCGGCTTCGGATTCGGATTTGGATTCGGATTCGGATTCGGATTTGGATTTGGTCAAATGATCGATTGATTGATTAACTTTTTGGACCAAATTTATTTGTTAATAGTAAAATATTAACAGAAATGTTATTACATATTTGTTTTAATAACAAAATATTAATATTAAATATTAATATTAAATCCAATCCGTCTTTCTGTTTTGGTAACAGAAAAGTAACTACCCTCTTCAATTTTCCCTCTTTATTTTCCCTCTTTATTATTGAGTAAATGGCCATTTATGTAATGGCATTTATGCTGTGGGCGTTTTGCATAAACAGCCATTCTGAAGAGTTGCACCTCTTCAGATTTCAGCCTAACTTTGGCTATAAATACAACACTATTCTGCTCAGAATTTCACTACGATTTTCTGAGTTTCTTCTCCTTCTTCTGCATACTTTTAGCATCAAACAAAGCAAAAAGTAAGTGTGATTTGCTACCGAACTTTGTGTTCGCTGAAACACTGGGGTTTGAAGTACCACTACACCAGTGTGTAATTCGTTCTATCCTGGGAGGAAATAATCCATAACCTTGGGTACTAGGAGGGGATTAAATTCCTTAAGGAAACACTGTGAATTCAGTGGGCTCGAATTGGTTTTATGTCATTTCTGTTTATGTTCATTTCTGTTTATACTCATTTATATTTCCAGAATTATTTTACAAATACAGTTTACTAACACCCGGT